ACCGTAAACCGACGTGCCACTAACGGACTCATCCGCCCAAAGTTCTTGATCACAGTATGCAACGAGCCGCCAGGCACGTACTCCATGATAATGGCAAGGTGAGATTGAACCACGCTGCAGGACACATACTGAACAATGTTCGGGTGGCGCAGCTTAGAAGCAACGTTCATTTCCGCCTCTAGAGATTCCTGCATAATGTCGCGACGCCGCCGCGGGATGCATTTGATGGCCACCTGCACACCATCCTCCGACATTCCCAGGAACACGGAACTGAAGGCGCCCTCGCTGATCTTCTTCAGAGACCTCGTCCATACTCGCTGATTCATGTCTGTCAGGAACAGCGGCAAATCGTCCGCGGCGTTACCGCCCTCCTCACATGCCTGGAAAGACCCCGAGGATGAAGAACTGCTAACTTCCAATACCTCAAACAAGGCCCCACATTCGCTTTCAGGACACCTGCTATGAGAGGAGGCTTTGGACTGGGCCGAAGTAAGGAATTTGTGGCTTGATCGCGCCCTGCCAAGGGCAGCCTCCGTGAATTCCGTCGTATTTGTGGGTCCCAACTCATTTGCTGCAGTAACACTCACATCCGGCACCCATTCCTGTAAGATGTCGCTTGCCAATCTCACGTAACTTGTGTTGTCGTTTAAGGCGCAGCGCCGTGCACACAACCGAATGAGGCGCCTTCTCTGAGGATCCGACTTTCCAACGCGTCGGAAATGCGATATGGCCTGCTTGTAATTTCCCTGACGCATTGCCGCAAATCCAAGTCGAAAGTGCATCGGTGTACCCATTGCCTGCAAACCAGCTGTTTCTGGTCGAAGCTCGAAGAGCACCACTGCCTCTGTTGAAGATGATGGCAGAACGCATTCAACGGGGTATGCGTGATGTCCCTGCAGCTGCGACGCCGTCCCAGACGTCGCTGCAATGCGGCAGCCCAGTCGATTCGCCACTTTTGCCAATTCACGCAGATTCATGACACCGACCACAACACGGGCATTTTTAGACTGTGCCCCACAAGTCCCCACATGAAATTCTTCTGTGGCTATAAAGATGGTTATAGTCTTCTTCTCCTGAGGCGTTAGTTTGGCAAAAAGCTCAAACGCAAAACGGCAGCCTTTTATAGCGTGCATAGGAAGTTGTGAGTGGGCGCCGAAACTCACGAGTGTCCCCTCCGGGCGCGAGTACTCCGGACATCCATTTTGTTCAGTGGCACATGCGAGGACGTTACTAAAATACGTGTCAAGCGATGCGGGCTGGGCGTTTTCAATGAGCACCATAGTGCAGTACCGTCGGACAAACGTGTTGGTCCGTTCCTTGAAAACGCGGCTGTTAAGACGCATCTCCTGCCGCACCTTTGAAAAGGTGCTGTGCTCCATCACGTCCAACTCGGTTCGGGTGTTTAGCAGGGAGTCCCGCAGCTGAGAAGGCGGATGCTGCTGAACCCCCCGCCTTCTCCAGGGAAACGAATGGTCTTTGTGGGTGGAGCTGCTGCTCTTGCTGCTGACGCTTGGCGAGGCGAGGATGGCGCCAGGGACAAATGTCTTCAGAATGGTGAGCTGGCGCGTGAGTTCAGCGTAGGCGTCTTGGACTTCGCGAACTTCGGCAATTCTGGACCTTTTCCAGACGTCGCTTTTGTCGTCTTGTCCGTGCAATTGCAAGTTTGCCGCACGCTTCAACTCCGGAACGAGCCTTCGCATGGGTCTCACTAGAAAATAGGCGATCAACATGGCAAGAATTGCAACCATCAGGACTGAAAGCCCCGTCGCAAGAGCCACATACGTGCTCGACCGGTAAATTTCACTAAAGAAGTCTGCCTGAAGGGTAATAGTAAACATCAGCACATCCAAACCGGCGCTATCGGTCAGTCGCAAGACGCGCGCGTACGCCTCATCCCCGTTGTAACGAAATGACAGTTCACTCTGATCCCGGTCTTTCATAAGCTGCGCAAATCCACCGCGCCGGCGCACGTGCTCCATCGCCTCCCGCACCAATGCGTCGGTGATGGCATGGCTGTCGAACATATGCATCGTAAGCTGAGCGCTTTTGCTGGTCCTGTTCGCTGATTTCTGGCCCCAGTTGTTTAACACAACAACATCCTGTTTAGCATCAAGCAGCAGAAAACGTCCGTTGCTGCGCAACGCTCTGGACAATGACCGTCCTGCCCAATGATCAAATACTGACGCGTTAAAAGCAATTTCCCAGAACCCAAGGCTCTTATTTACAGCAAAGGGCAGAACATAATTAAAATACATACATGAGAAACTAGTGCCTTTCGTGAGCCAACGCCTTTTCCACGCGACACCCGCCGCCATGCTTGCGTTCCATGGTTCAACAATTGCCTTGTAAGCCCCATTCTTTTGAGTCAAAGCAGGGTACAAACTCATATTATATGTGGTGAGGCTGCGGAGAGGTGAAGCAAAGCTGCCCTTCCCAGGGTCAATCCGGTAGAGCGGTGCGGTCGAACCCCCATGCATCACGGTGCCCCCAATCTCGCCGTTATCAAAGCCCGACGCTGCCAGTACTCCCCACTCTTCCCCGGGCGGGCCCGCCAGCGCCACCATGAAGTGGCCAACAATATCGCGGTATAACTTCTTCGACATGACATTTGTCAAGGCAAATAAAAGTCGTTCCTTTTCTTTAGGGAAAAAATCACTGCTGCTGTTCATCGTGAGAACATAATTAGCTGAGATGGCGTGGATGAGGGTCGGTAGATGCATCGCAGAGGTGTTGGATGCGGTTAAGAAGAGATTAATGGCTTGCGAGTGAACCATGCGGGTTGCATCCAAAGCTGTGGTGAAAGTGACGAAGTACATGGGAAAAAAGCTAACAACCCCTACAAGCGCCACGCCAAAGCACATTATCCCCGCGATGAGGACCATGATCCGGAGGCGGCACGTTCTGTGCCCTCCGGGCTGAGAGGCTTCACTCCCTTCCTCAAAATCGCGCCGCTTGTCGTCCCTCGTGGCGTAATGTCCGAAAACCCTAAAGAGCATTTCAACTGCAACCTAACAAGGCTTGAAAAGAACAACACGCGAAGTAGGAGAAAGGGGAGGTGCCGGACTCATCGATGGTTGCAGCGGTCAAGTCGCCCTTTCAATGTGGTGAAGCAAAGGCAGCGGAATAACCGAGTACGCAGGCAATGTGTTCGCCGGCAACAACACAGACGCAGGGTAAATTTCTTTTTGTCTTCGCACCTGAAATGAAGCAAAGCACATTGTGACAAACTCGCTGACTTTTTTTTCTTTTTCATTTTCCTTTTTCCCCACCAGTTATACACTTCGATAACACTCAGCCTCCTCATCGTCCTCCTCACAACCAACAATTCGCCTCCTCCCGCGCCTCCCACTCAAAGCACACACACACACACACGACCGTACGAGCCCTGCCACCCATTTTTTTGCCTTCACGCTGCTCTTGTTGGGTTGTTGTCAGTATTCACCGTTCATCTGCAATTATTCATACAGACTGTAAGGGCCACGCGTTGGACGCACGTCTTCGCCATCTCCTCACACAAATGACAACTTTTGGTTCAGGTAGTACATAGAAAAGGCAGGGTAAAGGACGTCTGTCTCTGAGACGTTTGGTATGTGGCCAATGGCTTTCCTCTTGCCGCTTACCATGTAGAGCGTTCGAGTCACGGCGTCCCAATCAAATTCCACAACGCAGCCTGTGGAAAAAGGCATCTTATCGCACTTCCAAGACCCATAGGAATCCCCAGCCCGCGAAAGACACCAGCCACCGAGCTCAGATATGTACTTGTTACTCATAGAAGACTCCTGCTGCGAACTCAGGCTGGGCAGCAGTCCCATCATGAGCCCTGAGCCGTCGGTGCCCTCGCCCTGATCAATAACTTTCATTGCCCACTGCCGCTCGTTTCCACAGAGCGGGGACTTGGACCGCAGCGTCACCCAACCACCATTTGTCTCCCTGCAGGCTATTGAACCATCAATCACTACGCCTGGGTGAGGCGTGGATCCGTCGATCTCCAAAATCTCCACGCCCATGTTGCCGCTGCTCACACCGCTGCTACCAACGTTGGCAGCAGAGGAGGAGGAGGAGGAAAAAGCAAACATACAAGGACGGGGATGCAGGGAGGAAACACGGCGCAACCAAAAGCAAGAAGGAAATCAAGCATAAAGAGAAAAAAAAAGTCATGAGGAAACCAACCAAAAAAAAAGCAAAAAAAACACACACTTAAGATGCAAGCATCCACCACGGAAGTGGACCGTTACATGGGGGAAAGATATATATATATAAGGGACCAACTCGTCGTCTGCGTCACACTCGTCTTTCAGCACAAACTGCAGACTCACAACTACTCCTTATCCAGTGAGCAAGACGGCACTTTTGTTAAGCAGCAACACCTCACCACCAAAATGGCGTACCGTCAGCAACGGGGCATCGGTTGTGCGGCCCCGCGCCCAGCCACCTGTTCGTTGTGCCAAGGCATTGTTGTAGCGTGACTTGGGATGCCTGTGGCTTGCCTTTAAGTCTTCTCCATGGTTCTGGTGAATTGCCGCGAGGGTTAGAGTCGCCTCAACCGTCAGTGCCCGCCCAGCACGGGCACGCAAAACCGCCTGAGTCGTCAGCCAATTGTCAAATCCTGTTCCACCCACAACAAAATCAGGCATGGTTTCCCAGTCGAACATATTGCGGCTCATTGCAAAGTAGTCCTCCGAAAAGGACTGAAATAAAGTTCCTGTTCTCCTGAACACTAGTTCCACGTCCTCCTCCCAGTCGGTGCCTAACGACCAATTCAACGAAATTTCAACATTGGTGCGGCGCCCCACGGCGAACCAACCCCTGTGAGCTCCCTTACTTTCCTCTCTGGCAGAGAAACCGTACCGTCGTACCGCCCTGATGGTTTCCAGCACGGAACGAGTATAGAGAATGTCCATATTAGAGTACATGACATCCTGGGCTTCAGGATAGGCGGAAAGCACACGCAAGAAGAGGCCCCGATATGTAGGCAACCCAAATTTTTCATGAATCTCAAAGTTTTTCATCAAATCAATACGTTGGCCTATAGCCCTCGCTGCAAGATTCTGATTGACCCGTTCAATGAGTGCGTGATCCAAAGCATTGTCAGAGAACACCACCGGCTGAACACCTTCGATTAACGCCCAGTTAAACAGCGTGCGGTTGGCAATGATAAATGGGTCGTATGCATCACTTTTATTTGGCTCAAGTGACTTCAGTGGTTTGAGGGTTCCAAACAAGACGGTTTTGGGGCCCATTGCTTTCTGGGGGGCGGGAGACTCAAACTTCCAGCAGACGCGTGCCACTGCACTCCAGTCTGCGCCAGCCTTGGGAGGAGGACATGCCTTGCTGGGCTCAGCGTACAGCACCCAGTGGGTTGCGGCTTCTATTTCTTTTGCGTCGCACCTCAGACGGTCACCCGCGGTGCGCAAAAAACGTCTTCTGGAAACTGACCAAAGGGCAACCGTGGCGGCCCCCGGCACGAACTTGAAACTCCACATCTCCGCACTCCTCGCCTGTGGGCGGTCCATTCCAGCACTCCCGTCGGAGTGTGCAGAGAGGAACAGGGAGCTCCACGCCTGAATGGCGTACGTCCCCCTCGCTGAACCGGAGAGAAGACCCAAAGTTCTGTCCATAACACCACCGTAGACGCCTTCCGACGAGTGACCAAGCCATCGGCCATCCGTCACGGAACAAAGGCGATAAAATGCGTCACCCGCAACTCCGGACGACGACGAGATCCGCGTCCAGTTGCTCGTGTCCTCCCGCGGTAGCGCATTCGCTGGAAATGCATCCTTGGCGCGAAGGTGCAGCGGCCCCAGACTGTCCTCGCGACTCCCACGGTGAAGGGCGATGAGCACGTAGAAACCGCCACATATGACGCTGGCCAGAGCGTACAGCACAGCAAGCAGCAGCAGCAGCGACCTCCCCCGCCTCCCCCGCCTGAGCACCATAAAAGCAAAAAGAGGGAGTAAGCAAGAGGAAGGAACAAACAAAAGGGGAATTCAATAAAAAAAAACTTGTTTGAAGCGGGAAAAGGAGAGGAAGTAAGAAGGCTAGAACAACACAGAACGGCAAAAAAAAAAGACGCGGGGCGAGGGAAAGCGATAATGGAGTTGATGTCCAGAGCAACCGGCACAGCCTGTACTTTAAATCGTCCTCAATGGCCCTCACACGAGGCAAGCGGGCGGGGGGTAAAAAAAAAAATGTATAAGCGAACGGTGCACGTCATTTTCGCCTCCAACGAGCTTAAACGCCCTTCCCTTCTCGCAAGAGTGCAGCAAAGAAATGCGGAGAAGTTTTTGCTGGAGAAGCCCGGCAAGAAACCCAATTCACTTTCCTGCCTGTATCTCACTCTTCTTCTTTCGCGTTACCCTCTACTCGTCTCTCTCCATCGCATCTTCGTTCTCTCCCTCTCGCTATTGGTTACACGGTACACCCAGAGAAAGTGGCAAAAGAAGGAGCGGAAAAACAAGCAAGCAAGGAAAAAGAAAAAAAAAAACAGACGTGACCTTCCACGAAGGAATCTCACACACGTGCAAGCAAGGTCAGCCTATAGATGCCACCTTGACTAACGACGAAGCCGCCGTGTTGTGGCCATCGATGCACCCTTGTACAAAAGCTGTGTAGCCTACATTCTGTGGTTGGGTTGTCAGATGCCGTAGCGCCTGCGCAAGCTCCGGAGTCGCGTGGAGTTGCTGCATCACCACATCCTCGCTCATTAAGATAACGTTCACAGCCAAGACGCACTCATCCCAGGCAGTGTACAGCTCACGGAGCCCAAGAAGAGTCGCCACCATACCAGGGGTGGTGTACAGGTAACTCTGTGCGGCGGTCCACACCGCCGTGTTAGAGCCGGTCCTCTCCGCATTCATAAAAGACGTGACGGAATCCTGCAATTCTGTTCCAATGCACCTAACACTGCGTGGCAGACCAAGTTCATCGTGAATACCGTCGAAAAGTGCTGGAAGCCGCGTGAGATTCAAAGCTCCCTCCAACCGACCATCCTCCGTCAGCGTGTCGTCAATAAATTTGCCGCACAACTCTCCCGTTCTTGGACGCGTCTTACAGGCTACAAAATGCGGCAGAGAGACGAATAGCTCTTGTAGCATGTCACGAAGCAACATCAAATGGCCTGCAAATAACGACTCCGAGGCCACATCGCACACGGCCTGTCGTACAGTTGGGTGGCTGCAAAATAAATATTCAACGGCAGATCGCCGTTGCAGTGCGCCAGAGTTGGCTGACCCACAAGAGACTTTTTCCGGGGCAAGCAGCCGAAGCGGCTCCGTCTCCAGCGAAAAATCACGAGGTAAATCCTGCTGTAATCCGACAGCACTTAAGAGGCGCGTCCAGACGCCGGAACCGTTGGCCCTGCCATCGCCTTCTGCGGCGGTCATTGTAATCTCCGCATGCAGCAACGCCATAAAGCGCAGTAAATCTTGGAGCAGATGAACCTTGCGCTGCCACAAGACAGACACAAGCAACTCCACCGCACACGACATCGCAATCTCCAGCGACTCTACTGATGCACCCCCGTCAGAGCCGCTTCCATCCAACATGATGACGCGTAGCAGCTGCGCTGATTCCTCGAATCGGTGGTTTTCAAGGCATTCCCTGAAAAAAACAACCGGGGAGCCCAAAACATCGAGGAGGATCCTCCACTGAGGAACATCTAGCTTTCGAAGACAGCTCACCGCCACACTGTAGAACTCCGAGTACCGTCGAAGGAGAGACACCGTCGCCTGAACGGCGGCTCGCCGATAATTTTGATCGAGGCCGTAGGGAAGGGCTCCAGTAATAAGCGTATGCAAGTAGTAGTCTGCGTTGGGAACAAAAGTGCCGTTTCTCCTCATACTCTCCAGCCAGTAGAGTAAACGATCGTTCCATACCAGAGGAACGAATGAAGTAACACTCGAAGCCGTTGGTGTGTCATTCGGGGTGCCCAAACCCGGCAAATCCGGGCAATTCAAGGCAGCTAATAGACGATAGTTGTACAGAAGAGGCTTGAGGGTCATGCGCAGAGAAACCGTAGGAGGCGCCCCACCGATAGCGCCCACAACCTCACTCGTCGAGCCCGCAGTGAGGAGACAGCCGTCGTGCGTGGAAACCCCCACTGGAAGAGATTCGGTATCGAAGTTCGACACTCCGTATTCGTGTGCCAACAGACCAGAGGGTGTGTCCTCTCCTGTTCCAAGTAAATGAAGGATGGAAATACCGTGAACGCCAAACACGACAATGACACTACCATCCATCGGCACGGCGTAATCAACCCAAATGCGATAAACACCCGCTGAGCGAAGAATCTTTATTGGAGACGGCATCGCGGATGCATTCGTTACAGCTGCGGCGGGGTCAAAAGATACCAAGGCGTGAGAACCTCGCAAAATGAACAAAGCCTGCGGCAAGGCACTCTCGCATCCGCGTTGTTGACTTGCAGGGGGATGAGACGGCGGTTTATGAGGCCGTATCCGTGCCGGATGAATACCCGCCATTGCCACGGGGCATACAAGACTATCTGGTAGCTGTGCGCGTTTTATAAAGTCAAAAGATATCCTGACATCCAGTGAAGAAGAATGCCCTTCAGGGTCAATCACGCAACGCCACAGAAGGAGCGCATTAGACGAATCCGTCACAAGGATAAAAATATCCGTGTAGTCGTTGTGGCATTCACACACATGCAATGGCATCCTCTCCAAGGAAACCCGAGTCAACAGGGCACTTGCGTCGAGATACCTGTGGGCATACACACGCAACTCAAAGGTGCGGTTGTGAGTTATACGCACTGGCAGTACAACGGCGAGGTTGCTAAGCCAGAGCGGTTGTGCCACACAGACAAACTCCTTTTCCAGATTTTTATCACGCAGGGAACGCCAACGGTGTGAAAAACGGTCAAAAAATACAAACCCGCACCTTCCCGCAAGCGCCACAGAGCTGCCGTCAGGACTCACAGCACCGTGCTTCATGGGGTAATTGTCACTCGCGTACTGCGGGCGAGCGCTGACCGTCTCGTTTAAAGTAAGTTCCCCATCGGCAGAAAAATGTCCCGCCAGACGCAGCACCTCATTGTCGAACGCAACGACCGGGGTAAAGCAGCCTTTGCTGTCCCCACAAGGGCTTGAAATGATTTCATTGAAACCGTACTCTGTAAACCCGCCACTCCGTGGTTCGATGACAAGCAGACGATGTCCATGGTAACTCCACGAAAAGGACACGTATCCCTCAGCCACGCGGCGTTGAGGGTGATGAAACAGTTGTGAGGAATACACGCAGACTCCACTGTAATGAACAACAACCACGCCAAGGTGGCAGAAACCAACACATAACAGCTCCTCGTTGGGGCTCCATTGCAAGTTGTCGATGGGACTAAGCCGCTTCACACCCCTTAGACACGACAATCCATTCCAAAAGGGTTTAAGTGAGAGATCCTCAGCAATCCATTTACAAACAACATCGCCTGTCTGTGTGGCCATCACCATTAGCATGTGCCTTGAATTGATCGACACACGAGCCACACCTGGGGCAGCCGCACACTTGCCCGAAAAGACAATGTCGTCTCTTGTGAAATCACTTCCCACGTTACTTTGGGCAAGAAGAACGCAGCCGTTCGACAACAACAGCACCGTCAATTTTAGTTGCGGAATATGGTGGGCGTCCAAAATGGACCCAGCAAAAACATCAGCGCGCGCCAGATGCACATCCGAGTCTGTAGTCTCGTCCCCCGTCTCCTCTAAGGGAGCAAAGAAATGGGAACCTTTGCTCAGAGAATGGCAACTCCACGCGTGTAAAAGTTTCTGCTGGAACCAACCAATCACGCAAACCGCACCAGCTGTGGTGCAGGCTAAAAAGCAGTTGCTCCCACCTGAGGCAAGCGACGTCAGAATACCAAACTCTAAACGCTCCTCCCTTAAGAACCGCACACGAGAGGTGAGAGAACCAAGTCGGAGGAGATGATCATGATACAGTGGCGCCAGCAACTCCGCATCCTTCAAGTCAGGAGAGACGCTGAAAAAAAGTATGCGCCGCTGTAGAGTTGCAACCACCAGACAGTCTCCCCTCGGATGCCACAGCAAGTGCGTCGCCGGGTCATCTTCGGCGGTGGCACCCTCTATTCGCACGGAGCCAAGATACGTCGCATCGTTGGTGCCCGTCCAAAATTGTAATTGTGTCTGCGACAGCACGACGACGCAGTTCCCCGCAGCGCTCGATGACACCGCCACGGGACGCCCGTCGCATTCACTTCCTTGAACTTCCCAGGTGTGCACCGCTGGAGAACCACAAGCTAGGTGCATTGCGACTAAGGGTCGCCAACTTTGACGCAGAAAACAGAATCGAGAGACAGAGATAGAGAGAAGTAGGAGGCGGCTGCAAAGAATAAAGGGGAGGGAGCAACGAAGAAATACAAAAAAAAAAAACGACTGTCCTCAAGAAGACTACAAAGTAAAAAAAAAAAAAAAGGTAGCACGCCTGCACTATGCAGTGCCAGAAGACGACATTGCTAGGCAGACGCCTACGCGCATCACTCGAACAAAAAGGCGGAGGGAGTGACGTCCAAGCTGCCAGCCCCGCCGCTGGAGTTCGCAACTGAAGGACGGGAAGATTCCTGCTCGCGCATCCGCTTCCGTCGCGCCACGATCATGTCGTCCACCTTCAGTAGGCCTGTATTTTTTCGCATCACAGCCAGGGCATCAATCATGACGTTGATGATGCCTTCGCGTCGCTCCACGGAATCAAATCTGAACTTGCCGGCGTACGCCTCCAATTGGCCGGAGCCATCTGCGGCGAGGTACACAAGTGCCTCCGCCACCTCATCGGCCGGCACCTTGACGCACAGTGGGGTTATAAACGAAAGCAGAAAAAGGCGGTGGGCGCACTCCAGCACGCCTTTGTTTTTTTCCGGCACCAACTCCATGATGCGCTTCATCGGGTGAATCACTTGAAAGTTAAAGCTTAGCGTATGGCACAGAAGTAACTCCATCTCCAGTAACATCCTCCGCCACCCCTCCATCTCATCGCCCTCCCCACTGACTTCAAAGACGAGCGAAATTACCCGATTCAGGCGCACCTTATAATGCTCCACCTTACTTGCCAGAAACACGCAGGAGGCACTCAGTACGATCTCATCAAACCGTCGTAACTCACGACGACTCACAAATGTGTGCCAGTACGCCATGGCAGTCGCAAGGACAGTTTCGTCCAGCTTCAGAATTTCAACAACATACCGTGTCATGTTGTACGCCTTGGCGGCGGTCCGGTAGTAGGCCCTCCCCAGCTGGAACAAGGGATTCACGCTGCCCACAGTCACCGACATCGGAGAGCCGCATGGAGGAGAAGACCACAACGGCGTCGCAACGGCATCCATAGCTCCCCCACTACCGTAAACGCACGCCACATACCATTCAAGGGGAATAAAAGAAACGAAGACACCCCCCACCACCATAAAAAAGGAAAAGAGTTAGAAATAAATAAAGAAAAAACAAGTCTTGGGCAGAAATAAAAAATCACAAGCACAAAAAAACAACAACAACAACTGAAGAACATTTTGCATTCTTAATACAAGCAAAATTTTACTTATAATTTAAAAAAACAATGAAATCAAAAACAAAACAAAAAAAACAAAAAAATTAATATAATGCAAGAATTAGCATCACTTCTTGTGGGCCTGCTTCTTGTTGAAGCTGTGGGCGTCCATGAGAAGCTTCGCACGCTCTGCACGAGCCCTCTCCTTGGCAAGGGAGCGGGTTGACAGGGCAACGCGAAGCTGCTTGCCACGGAATTCCACGCCGTTCTTCTCCTTCACCACCTTCTGTGCGGCGACGGGAGAGTCCAGGTAGACGTATGCGTAGTTGTTGCGGTAAGTGCGCAGGCGCAGCACCTTCAGGCCCGCGAAGAGCTCACGAATCTGCTGCTTCGTCGTCGACGCGCGGAAGATGGGAGAGACGAACACAACCGAGGAGTTCTCATGCGGGTCAGGCTTCGGGGACGTCTTGGCAGGAACGACAGTCACAACGCTGCCCATCACCTCCTTCTCGTTGAAGAGATCGATGGCCTTTTTCACAGCCGCCGCGTTCTCAAAGAAGACGATGG